CATTAGCGTCTTATGCGGGGTAATGGCCTTGAACGCAGCTACGGTGGTTGCAGTTGGATCTCGCGAGGCATGGTAGGGGTGGAAGTCCACTGTTCGTATACGGTGGATTTTTGAGGTGGCGGCGTCTATGACGGTGAGGTGTGTGTCGTCATGGGGGTGCAGGTACCGTACTGTACGTGATCTTGATTGTAGCTTCGGGATTTTTGCACGTTGTCGCGGGTCGGGTGTGGTGCCCAGCTGGCCGAATATGTGGAATTGGGGGATGGAGGGGGCTGCGTTGTGCCATTCAGTGGTGGGGAGCTCTTTGGTGCCGTGGTGCATTGTGTGATTATATTTAAATGTTGCATCTCTGATCGCGTCTTCCCAGTGGTGGTGGCTGAGGCCACTGTGGTGGAGGGCAGCCCGTGCCGCGTTCAGAAGCGTGCTGTTTATCCTTTCGGCAAGGCTGTTCTCTTGAGGGGTATAGGGGATGGTGGTAGAATGCCGTGTGCGCTGGTTGTGGTATGTCTGTATGGCAGTTGCTGACATATATTCTAGTGCGTTATCGGTGCGGAGGACTCGTGGTGAATGTCCTGTGTTCTCCTTGATAGTGGTTAGGATATAGTCGAGGCGTTGCGGGGTTTGTGCTCGGGAGGGCATAAAGTCGGTGATAAGGTACCGTGTGGTTGTGTCGAGTACTGTTAGAACATACTTGTTTCCTTGGCGGGACGTGGGGGCAATGGGTCCGCATATATCGCTGCTGAGGGAGAAGCCAGCGGGGTATGTATGGACCGTGGGTTTGTGGGGGCCGAGCCTTTGTTTTGCGTGTGCGCAGCTGGGGTACGTGATCTTGGGTGCATATCTCGCCAGGGAAGGTGGTATGTTTGGCAGGAGGCCCTTCAGTGCCATGGTTTGTATGGTGGCAGGGCGAACGTGGTTTAGGATCATGTGCCAGTGGTGGAAGGCATGATCCAGGGCAGCGCCACGGGGGGTGGGCGGCAGCGGGGCGGGGTTGTGTATGGTGTGCATGGGGGTGGGTCGCCTTGTGGGGCCCGGCAGTGGGGGTGCTGCTGGTGCAGGGCGGGGAGGGGTGGGAATTGTGGTTGAGGGGGGGCTCGACGACGGGAGGCCGTGGCGTTTTCGTGTGGGGTGTTTGTCCGCCGGGCTGTACGTGTAGCATGTGCATGGTTAAGGGGGTTGTTTGGTGGGCGAAGGACGTACAGTCCTTTTTTAACTGAGGCTGTGGCAATAATCTGTGGGGGCTTCGTGTTGGTTGCTAGGATGGCGGCGTCATAGGGTCTGAAGATGACAGCTCCGTACTGCCTTGCAATGTCATGGACGGATAACAGGTTTTGGCGTATGGCGGGATTTGCAATGGCAGGTAAGGTGAGGATCTTATTCTTGTTCGTAGGGATTTGTAGGGGACCCGAGTGAGTCGCGGACGAGGTGGATGATGTCGCGGGGTTAGTAAATGATGCGTCTGGTGAGGGGGCGCATTCCGGGAGCGGCATTTGTCACGTGTGTCGGGCTGGCTCCGGAATCAAGGATATATTTCATACCGTCGGAATCTGTCTGTATTTCGGAGTGAAAAGCTTGTAGCTCATTTGAGAGGGCATTGGTGCTGTCCGCCGCCGCATGTTGGGCTTTGGTTGTGCGGCGTGTTGGGGGACGTCTCGTTGGTTCTACGACAGGGGCGGGCTGCATTTTCCAGGGCGGTGGTGTTGGCCAGTGTTGGGGTGTCTGTATTTGGTACGGAGCTGGGGGTGGCATTTGGGGTGTGTATTGCGTGTTGTACCACTTTCCCCGGGGGTAAGGGCGTCCCGTGTTCCGCCCTCGTGGACCGGTGTGGGGTTCATGCTTGGCCGGGCGGGGATTGGGGGAACTGAGGCCTTGGGGGGTTGGTGGTGTGTTGTCTTGCCGGGCAGTTGTTCGGGCTTGTACGGCGTTAAGGCGTTGTTCGATCGCCCGGATTGAGGTCGGGATGGACGCGGTCTCAGCCCATGTGTCGGGTAAATGTTTGAAGGCGTGATGGTGTTCTAGGCCTTTGACAATGGCATCGACGGTTACTGTGTCGTCGGCAGATATGTTTGGGTCTTGTGCAAGACGCATACGCATACGTCGCGATCTGTATTTTTTGATGTACTCGTCAACTGTGGTGTCGGGGGTAAGGCCAAGGCGGTCGGCTTCCTGCCTTAGGAGTAGATGAGTTGTAGGGGAGCTGTCCGTAAAGTGGGTTTCGATTTTTGCCAGTAGCTCGGGTGGTGAAGCGTCGAAGGTTAGGTCGGTTGTTTCCTCTACCCGAAGCACTCGTAGGGGTCTCGCCTCCCCGTGTCCGGCTGCGCATTGGAGGCAGGAGTCGCGGGTGCGAGCACCCCACGAAGGGCACCCCGCTCCCCTCGGTAACGATCGCGCTCGCTGGCCGCCCGTTCGAAGAGGCTTCCCTGCTTACGGAGGGACTCGCGTAGCTCCGTTAACTCAATCTGAACGCGACCCAACTCCGACGAGCCGGACGCCAGATCCGCTTCGATCCGACGCGCTTCCTCGCTTCGAGCTAAATACCAGCTTCCGAGAGTGCTAAGTAAGCGCTCCACTTGCCACGAATGATCGCCCGCGTACCCGAGGGCGCGGATTAATATGGGAATGTCCCGACTGTCGCTCCGTTCCAGCGTCATGCGGCGAACAGCAGTGGGGTCCGCGGGAGCGTGGGTCGGGGTCGCGTTGAGAGGAGGCACAGGAGGAACGGGAGGACTGGACGGGGAGCTAGGGCCGCCCATGAAGGCCGATGCCTTGCGGGACGGGCTCGCCCCAGCGAGTGCACGGGATGCAGGCTCGCTGTCTAATTCACGATAGCGTTTCTTTCGCGATAATCGCGAGGCGGAGCCGACTCCGCTCCCGCCCCCGGAGCGCCGAGGAGAAAGCGGGAACTCCGCTCGAGCGGATGTAGGGGTACATTGGGGAGATCCCAGGCCACTCGCCCCAAGTGGGCTAATATGCCGGTTGGTTGCACGAACACCAGCCCATGAATTGAGATTTCGTTCATGAAGGCATTACCAACCGCCCACGCCCATTCCCTTTCGACGTTGTACATCAGACTCAGATGCGAGGGATGCCTGGGGTCAGTACAAGCAGCTCCGAAGTGCTTTAAGGCGTAAGGAAGTAAGGGATGCACCCCTAACGAGGGGAGTGCATCCCTCAACGCGTCAGGGACGGGCGGGAAATCGAGTGGCGATAGGCCGTCGGCAAACACAACCGACCGGAAGACACGCCCGTCCGCCTCCCCAGAATGCCGATAAGCTGCCCAATCGTGGGGGGCAATGGCGACATGGTGTAGCCTCATGAGTGAGCAGTGTAGCATAAACACCCCCAGCGATAGGGGTGTATGCACAGTTCGACCGAGACCCCGTCCGATCGGGAAGAAGAGGGTGAAGCAGGACACCAGCTGACGGCATCGGGCAGCTGGCCCGGGTAGCGTGGTAGAGCGGGAACGGGGAGGACGCCGGTACGCGCGAGCGGTTCGACGCCTCGACGCCCCGGCGCGGTACTAGGTAACGATCCAGAACCGACGGGCGGAGGCTGAGCCGACTCGTGGGCGTACCGCGCGTCCTCAACCGGTGCTCGGTGCCGCTCTAAGGTAGTTAGCGAGCGCTACCTTAGAATAAGCGGGAAGTCGGACCTTGACGGTCGGTGGGTGACAAGTCCGTGCTTCTCCTCCTCCCCCGCCGCCGGTCCGCTTCATATTTAATATACAAAACAATCTATCATAACACTACAGTACCGAGGTACTGTAGTGGGCTACTGTAGTGCAGGTCGGCCCGCACTGTAATGCTGTCAGCTATGTCGAGGCTGACAGTACACGTATTACCCGTGGTGCGTGCGGGCTTCGTTCGCGCGTGTACACGTGTGCACGTGTATGCGCGTGTCCCTTGTCCCCGTCGTGTACACGTGGGCACGCGTGGTTGTACTGCAGAGCGTCGAGCTCTACAGTAGGGGATCCTGTTGTTGATCCAATCTAACTAAAAAGCCCCGGGGGGTTATACTACACGGTCCCCGCCACAAGTGTGAACGTCCGCGTTGACATGTACTTGTAGGATGACTCGTGCTTCCTTCCCAGACTCGATCCTCGTTTCCCTATCACCCCCCGCCTGCGTTCGTTTCTCACTTCCTCGCTCGTCGTGCACTTCGTTCCTTACGTCCCCGTTCCGATCATCATCTGAGACTGCTTGTCGAGCGTCTCCCGTTATGAACTTCTGCATTCTCGTTTCTTGCCCCACCTACTTCGTGCGGGGGGGGCGCATCCGTCTTGACGGGCGCTCCGGTGTTCGGGTTGCTTACCCACTTGCTCGTGTACCGAGCGCAGCAACGTCGCTCGCCGTACGCAGGTTCACAGCAGCCCTGAAGATGCGTATCATACAGGGCGATTGCGGTCCTCAGACAGGCATGCAGGCACGAGCGTGCGTTGGTCTTCGTCGGTTTTACCGCGCCGTCTTCTTGACAAGTGCGCAGCTATAGGGGTTCTTCTCTTTCCCCATTGTTTTCTTTGTAACTACCCTCGGGCGATCTTCTCGGTCAACTGTACGGGGTTGATCTTGGTCCTGGTCGGTCGTCCGGGTCTCTAGTCCCTTGGGACGAATTAGTGAGGTCATTGCGAGTGAGTCACCCTCTTGGGCAGGGGCTGTACTGACGGTCCGGAGGTGGTACCATGCAGAGCGCGGGTGTATGAGCGTGCTGCGGACCTCGTCGGGAGGATGCCGATCTCGCCCGCAATGTGTCGTGAGGGTCTTGTCCGTCCCCACGCCGAGCCTTGGGCGTCTGCACTCAGACGTTATTTTCCATCCTCCCTTCAGTGGCGTTGGTTTCACGGTCCGAACCGTTCGTGTATATCTTGGGGAGGAGTCGTGGAGCCCCTCCGCATGACGTCTCCTCTCCCTATCCTTTACCGTTGCTCCCGTTATCGAACGGGAGTCGAATTCCCTTGATTCGATCGAGGGGACGACGAATTTCGTTCCCCTTTTCTTAGACCCATGCTCGGGCAATGGGGCGTCATCGTGGTCGTGCTCGACGGTGCGGTCCGCCTCTGCGAGGAGGGCCTCGCACGCCGTGAAGAAGGCGTGGGTACGTGGATCGTTGCGGCGCGGTTGATAACGGCCTTGGGGGCGCGCGAACGCGGCCGCCACAGCCGCGACCATGGCGTCCGCACTGCGCGGGACAGCGGCGCGTACACGCGCACCTGGCCAGCGTACGATAACGCGCGGCCAGAGGTCGGCGAGGCGGCGCGCTCTGGTGTGCGAGGCCGCGCGTCGCAGTCGTCCATCAGCTCCAGGAAGACCGGAAGCGAGGCCGGCGGCGCAGCGTCAGCGCGTTTGTCAGCGCTCGTGGAAGGGGGGAGACGCCGGGCCGACTGGGACAGCGTGCAGGTGACACGAGGGAGTTGAGCGGGTCGTGTATGCCGCCTGCGCATGCTGTCCAGCGATGCAGGTGCGCAAAGGCCCCTTGTCCTTGATTAAATCGCCCCAAAAAATCCAAAAATCATTTTCCCGCGAAAATGTTTTCATCCAAAAATTAGCCCACGATCCGTGATTGGTGCGCAGTCCAGTCCGAACTGTGCGCGCAGTGTATGAATACAGTACAGTACCAAACGGCGGGCAGCACAGGTTCGCGCTGCCGTGGTGCCGTGGCAGGCGCCTCGGTGACGATGGGAGTGGTATTGGTAATTAGTCGGAGCGCAGCTACAGGGGTTCGCCCCCTAATCTTTTCCTCTTTCGCTCCGCCATCGGGCGGGTTTGCCGACCAACGGTACGGAGTCGACATCGGTCTTGTAGGTAGTTCGCGGGCGGTGAGGAGCGTACGTTCGTAGAGGGTGGCGTCCCTCTCATGCCACGAGGGCCCCTGCGGTAGTCGGTCGGAAGGAATTGGCCCAGGGCCTTTGGGGTCGTAGCGAAGGGCGACAGTCTCCAGCTCAGAGATGGGCGGTATTGACAGTCTCTGCCCAAGCCGGAAACTGCGCGTGAGCGACGTGCGCGCTCGACGGTAGCCGGGTTCCGTAGCAGCTGGATCGGGGACAGCGTGTACTTGGACCGTGACCAAGGCCCCCTCCCTCCTCGGTGAGGCAACCAGACCGCCTTCCTTGCCAGTCCTCTCCATATCCCCTCCGTGCGACCTGGGGAGGCCTTGGGGTGCGTCCCCGGTCATGCGAGCGTACAGTGGTTGTCAAGGTACGCAGAGGGTCGCATGCGCCGCGGTGTTGATCACGTGAGCACGACAGCTCCCGTTCGAGGTCGGGGGCGGTGGTCGGCAGTAGCCGCCGACCCCACGAAGGAGCGGAGCGAGTGTCTTCAACGAGATGTAGTGGGAGCGGACGGGTGTTGCTCTCCTCGTGAGGTGAGCCTCATTGACGAAGAGGAGGACTGCGCTGGCCGCGCGCTCTCCCATCCGTGGAGGACGTGTGACACTGCGCGGGAAGTGCCGGATGGTCCGGTATGTGGGTACGGTAACCCCCTGTCGCCGCGGGGGTGTCTCTGGTTGGTTCATCTTGACCGTGTCTCGGGGGAGTGCTCGATACGGACGCGCGGCGAAATTCTCCTGAGGCGTCATGTCTTCCCCGCCGTGGGTCTGCGCCTCCATCTGCGACGCCTCCATCTGCGACGCTGCAGGCTCTGCGTCCCGTCCCTGCATGCTGTCCGACGCGTGCAGCTGATCCGGTAGATCGTAGAACTAAGCGTCCGTGAAGGTGTGCAAGCAACGCTCTCTCCTAGCAGGGACCACTCGTTCATCAACGACTGAACCTTTTCCTACTCCCCTCTTTCTTTTTCTTGACGATGGCAGAGACCAAACTTCCTTCCTGGCGTTCCCGTCCTTGTTGTGGCGTACCCACGACCTTACAGAGTCGTCGGTCGTGACGACAGTCTCTGCCATGATCGCCACGCAGACGATCTTCTGTCAGGGCGTACCGAGTCGGCGGCTTCGCCAGGGCCTTCCTCTGTTGGTCGGAAGCGGCAGCGATGCGTACGGAAGGGAGGAAGGACTCGCCGATTGGAGCCGATGCCCTTGACGACGGGTTCGCATAAAGCTTCTTGACGAGTGCGCGTGGGCGCGTCTGGGGTGCCGGCGGACGTGACGATGCCCGAAAGTGCGCGCCGGCGTCGACGCACGTGCCCTCAAGTCCGCTGTAGACGCCGGAGGGCTGACGGAGGTGCGGCTTCTTTGCGACAGTCTCCTGAATTCTTGTGTTGCCCAATCGGTCTCGCTTATCCTGGACGTTCCGCTCTTTGTCCCTGGGTACGCGCGCGGAAGATGAGACGTTAGAGTAAGCAGCGTGGGAGGGAAGGCGCGCGTCGCAAGAGGTCGCGTCCCTTGTGCGCTGGTGTCACGACCGCGTCCGCGGTAGCTTCATCATCGTCCCTTCCCGTAGTGTACGAGGAGGGGTTGGCGGTGGTGCGACATACAGAGGGCGCCGCGCCCTCTCAGTGGTGCAGGGGTTATGCAACGACGTCGTGCCGCTCATTGCGAGTGCCCCCCATGGCACACGCGTACACATGCCACACGGACGGCAATTTGCGCCCAATTTTTTTCAATTTCTTGGAAAGCGGCGGCGGACTCTCTCTGAGGCAGCGTCGCGTGATATTTGGCATACAGTGTTCCTCGGTGGCCATTGGGGGTGGCGCTGCCGACTGACGACGGAGTCGGCATTACGCGACAGTGCTCATCGGACGTATTTCTGTTGGACTGGAGTGGCGTCCGTTCGTCTGCACCGTCTCCCCTTGCATTTGCGTAGAGGTACGAACCGACGCGAAGACACCAGCCCTTCGAGGATATGCTCACCGCAAGGACGCCTTTCGCCTCTCTGCCACCACTTCGCGCTTCCTTCTCCCTCGTTCCCGTCTGCCTTTCGCACGGGAGTGGGATGCCGAGGCATCCTCCCCGAAAGGAGCCGACGCGCCTATGCGCAACTCATCCGGTTATCAAGCGACCATACCGGCGATCTCGCCTCACCTCGTCCCATCCGTTCTTACCAGGGACGTTACTCTCGAGGCAGTACGCTCTGCCTGGTGTTTAGGTGTTGCATAGTTGACCTTGGTCTGTCAGTACGTCTTGACATCTTCGCACCCTCTCGTACTTGCTGGTATCTCTTTCGTTCCTTAGGGGATCGTTCACCTCGTTCTCCAGCTTGCCGCTTCACGACCTATTTTGTGATACAGTACGTTCTGTATTCTCTTTGACGCCCCTTTGGCGCAGCTCATTGAAGAGCCTCCGGAGTGAAAAGGGATTCGGATCCCTTGTAGCCAGTCTGGAGCGTGAGTGGGCTCGTGGGTCCAGGATGTTGCCCGCTCTTCGACGGACTCGGTGTCCCCCATCAATAATGGTCCTATCGTGGACAATCGCGCATTCTTTGGACCGCTCGGCTCGAGGTTGCTGGACTGAACGGAACGTCCGGTGACTTCGAGCCAGAGATATTCTAACCCTTCAGCTATGAAAGGGGTACTTGGGGTCCTCGTAATGTCGGTCATTACGAGGGCCCAACATTTTTTTCACGCTGTTCGTACTGTCCTGTTCTTATGTCTCGCGTCCTTGACGTCCGAGAAGTCAATACGACTTGACTTTAACACGTCCCGGGCTGTGACCCTCCGATAGGTTCCACCGTCCTCCTTCGCTTCCCCTTTTAGTCTGTTCGTGCAGGCTGGGGTTAATCCGCGAAGGAGCGGTTGAGGGCCCCCCCTTAAGCGTGAACGTCCGCGTTCACGGTTTGGGTGAGGTCTCTGCCGGTACGTCTCCGGAGGCGTTGAGCGTAACGAGACACCAACTCCTCCGGGACGTGAGTCCGCGCAGTCCAAGTGGGCGCGTCGTAATCCGCCCACTTGATGAGGAACTCCGTAGTTCCGTCTTCCATGACTCGATGTCTCAGTAGCCGTTCGACGGCATACTGCGTTCCCGCGGTGACCTTATCGGCGAGGTCCCGCGGGGTCGTCGTACTTGCTCGTGGCGCGTCTATCGGAGACGGCGCGTATACGCAGCGGTCGGCGGAGACTCGCTCGGTGACCCATCACGATCGATCGTGATGGTTCGGCGGTTATTGGCGAGCACGCGGTAGGGTCCGACCGCGGGCAAGGCGAGCTTGTTCGACGTCTTAGCCCCATCGGTGGGGTTGAGATATACGTATTCTCCGGGACGGAGCCGGGAATTAATACGTCGTATGCGCTTATCGAAGTCGCGCTTGTAGCGAGCCTGCGTGCGACGCAGGCTCCCGTAGGCCTTCTGGATAGTCGAATCCAAGGTCTTGAGGAACTCGGCACGTTGGTTTCCCCTATCGGAAGGGGGCGCGTCGCCGTCCGCCCGTCGAAGAGAGAACTCCGGCGGTGGTCTGCTGAGCACGAGCTCAAACGGCGTGGTGCGTGTGGTGCGATGTACGTGGGAGTTGTACGCATACGTAAGCGGCCCCACGTACACATCCCAGTCGTCCTGGTGTCCACCCACGTAGTTCCGCAGCATCGAGGCGATTGTTCGGTTATATCGCTCGACTTGCCCGTTCGTCTGGGGATGGTACGCCGAAGTATACAAAGTCGTTATCCCCAGAACGCGGCACGTGCTGTGGAAGAACTTGGCATTAAACTGAGGGCCGTTGTCCGAAAGCAACGTGCGAGGGACGCCATACTTGAACACCCACGAGTCGCAGAACGCAACTACGACCGTGTGCGCTGTTATCGTGCGGAGCGCAACGACTTGCGTTAGCTTACTAAAGCGGTCCGTAATCACGAGCAGGAACCGTTTTCCTGTCTTCGTCTTGGGGAGCGGACCCAAGATGTCGATCGCGAGGCTCTCGAGGGGCCTCGTAGCTGGAAACAATCTCAATCGGTTGAGATGTTTCCTCAGCTTCACCCGGTTCATCGCGCAGGTTCGACACCCTCGCACCGTGGCTGCGACGTCTGCAGCCAGGTGGGGCCAGTCGTACTCGCGTCGAAGTGCGTAGTACATACGGTTTTGGCCCGGGTGCCCCGCGATGGCCGGGTTGTGGCACAGGCGAAGGAGCCTGGCGCGGAGCGTCGGAGGTACCACCACCTGAACGATATCAGGGTCGAAGGGGTATCTCCGTTTGAGCACCCCTTGGTGGTCCTCGAAGAACGCGGAGTCCCGGGACTCTGACTGTCGCGCCAAAACGGTTTTGTAGAAGTCATCCACGCGTTGCTCCTCGGCTATCTCCTCTATCGCAAGAGGGGCCGGAAGGTCGTCCTGCGGTGGGGCGACCGGGGAGTCGAGCGCGCCAGCCTCGAGGTCTTCGGCGCGCTGGATGTCGGCGGCGTCGAACTCGTCGTTCTCCTTCCAAAACGAATTGGGTCCTTGGAGAGCGGGGGATTCGTCGTCACCTCGTGGTTCGTCGCGCATCCGTTCGCACGACCTTGTTCGGGCTTTGGCTTGCTTCCGTGTCGTTACGAAGACATGG